AACCGCCGGTTCCCCTACCGGGGGGTGCGGCGGACCCAACGCGCTTCGCCATCGCCACACGGAGTTCCCAGGCGCTACTTAACTTTCGTAATCTGACGGGAACGAGTGCACTCAGCGTGGCATGGGCGTTGGCAGTTTGAAAGATCTAAAGGCAAACGAACTCCGGACAAAACATTATTACCGTTATTTGTAATCTTTAACCGGAGTTACATATGAACTCTAACTTTGAACTTTTTATAATAACACCTGTCGATATAAATCGTACGAACGTGCTATCTAGGACTGGCTGTGGTCAAACAACTACGTAGGTACTTCGGTATGATTAATTCTCCGACGGCTTCATACCGGGGGCCGCGAAGATACTTCAACAACTCAACGACTTACTAAAAATTGTAAAAAAGGGCAACGCGCCCATCGAGTGTTCGGAGCAAACTGAAAACGCCTTTCGCGAGTCGAAACGTGCCCTCGCTGACGCCACGATGTTGACGCATCCGGTACCAGGCGTGCCCGTTGGCCTCGCGGTAGACGCGTCCGATTACGCGATAGGAGCGGTTCTGCAACAGCGCGTGAACGACAAATGGCAGCCGCTGAAATTCGTTACAAAATCCTTGACCCCCGTGCAGCAAAAATACAGCGCGTACGACCGCGAATGATTTGTGATGTACACCGCGGTTAAACGCTTTAGACACGCTGAGGAAGGGAGAAATTTCGCGATATATACCGACCATAAAGCCCACACGTACGCGTTTAATCAATATCTAGACAAGTATTCGCTGCGACAATTTCGACATCTCGACTATATCGGACAGTTCACGACCAATATTAGGTACACAAAAGGCCTACATAACAATGCAACCGGCGCTCTATCTCGCATCGAAGACATTGTCAACTCCAGCACATATGCGTTATGATTAAAAAAAATACGTTTTCCTGATTACGACGTAGAAATACTTCGCGACGTAACGAACGAAGTCTTACGACCGTATGTACGTAATAACCTTTGTAAATTAAACAACACAAAAAAAAAAACGTTATCACTGGTAAGGGGGTGATGTTGTGGCACATGAGTCAACGTAAAATTCGAATTGGGAGAGACTCACATTATTGTGCCTTGGAATACCAACATTGTTTTAGTTTTCAAGGTCTAAAGGTAAACGAACTCCGAACAAAATATTATTGCCGTTATTTATAATCTTTAACCGGAGTTACATATATACTCTAACTTTGAACTTTTTATAATAACATCTGTTGATATAAATATACGAACGTGCTCTTTAGGATAATCGAATAGTTGAATAGCTAAAAAAATATCTTAAATTTAATATTGCAAGACTTGTCGTATAAATGGCAAGGAAAGATAAGGAAACGTTTAGAAGTTTTTAGGCTTTTGTTAGTTCTACCCGACCTCGGGTTTCAGATCACCAAATTTATTCTGCGGTGATCGAACATCCGGAATACGAATGATTCTAATAAACGACTTCCGTTCTCGGGAAAATTCAAAATGTCAAAAATTCACCCTTAGACTGTAAACGTTTTTACGGTACTCTAACTACAACTAACTCCGACTTTCGTGTCCGATGCATTTTTCATTCAAAAATTCGTACGATATTTTCAAATGTTTTGGATTAAGGTTATCATAAACTTTTATTAAATAATTTTTTTAAGCAGGAGGTTGGAAAGTTTTTTTACCTGCTCCCTTGCGAAAAATTCAACTCGGTCAAAATAACTTGGACATGAAATATTTACCTCTACAGTTCAAGGGTTAAATTTTCTTCATCTCTTACATTCTTGTACACTGTTTTCTTTGAACAATACGACAGCAGATTATTACATCGCGACTGATGGCACAGGCAAACGAATAATCTTCTACGTTAACGAAAATAGACAAAAGCAGTTGAACACTTTCGTGAAATTTTAGATAAATTTTTCGCACTTTTCATAAACGTATTAATATGTGTCATACGAGGCACGAAATTTCATAAGCATTCTAATGACACTCGAAACTTCTAAATGTTTTATATAACATATATAACATATACGTAAATGCTTTCTATGGAAAATCCAAATACCTTTACGAGCTACCATAATGACGGATGAGAGACATAAAGGAACTTTTTACCTGCTTGTGGTACACCGTTATGTAGCTCTTTAATCTTTACATCTGTGTTTAATTATGCTTTATGAACGCTCGGTAGAGTACATTAAAAGGAGGACTAGTCAAATGTTATTAATTTTATGAGTAAATACTTCAAATATAATGATTGAACGATGAAATTTGTATGCAAGGTAGATATATCGATCGTAATGTTGTTGTAAAACAGAATTACATACTGCTACGCAATTAGTATTGGGTCGCTCGGAAAGTTCGTGCTGATTTTCGGCAGCTGGCATTAGGACAGACCTGAGTATATCAGAATGATTAAAAACAAAGGGCATATGTACATATTCTAAATTTTGAGATTTCAGGCATCTTCAGAAAAAAATTACGATATAATAATTTTTGTTAGTTCTATACGCTCTTAAATATGGGAGAAAACAAAGTGCACTATAAGTGTTAATAAGTATTTTTTTGTTCAATCAAGGAATCAAAAGAATTTTGGTTCAAAAAATTTATCACAACTTTTATTTTACATAATTCGTCTGTATTGTTAGCCGAATTATTACCTACAAAATGCAAACATCTACATATTTGCAGAAATTTTGTTAACGGCGTTGTTTTTCTAAAAATTGGAGTTTCTATAACTGCTCTCTTAGACCAATTCATGTTTACCAGGAATCTCTGTATAGTTACAGAAAAGAAAATTTAATGTTTATTTATAGTTGAGAATGTACATAAGAAATTTTTATATAAGTTACGAATTGGTTCTACAACTCTTTAAATTTGAAGGTGCACATTATTGGCGTTGTATGATATAATAAAAAAATCTATGCCTGAAGATGATTCTCTTTGTCATATTTTTATTTTATATATTAGTCATGACTTTGTGATATTCAATCCTATTTCTATAAACCTATCTTTTATTCAACTAGATTTTTACTATTCACATCTTAATTCTGCTGAGCTTATATATGGATAAATGTAGACAAAAGGGCATCCAGCCAGTAATACAATACATTGGTATTTATGTATGGTAAAGAAACAACGCACGCGTTACTCGTTCGTAAAAATCTAATCCAACGCAATACCAAGGGAACTAGCAAAAAATTAAAAAAAAGGGAAGCTTTTTGGCCAAAAATCGGACCCCCTTTGCTCGCATGTGAAATTGGCACATATGTGGTTGGACTAGATTTTTATGAGCAAGTGGAGTAAGCAAGCAACGCGTGAAAATTTCTTTCAAATAAAAACTAAAATATAAACGCGACTATTGCGTCGGTTATGTCCATGCCTGCAGTCACATATATTTACACATAGGCAAAATAGAATGTACGTAGTAGTAGTAATATATTATTATTACTAACTTTTTGAAGAATAATGAGCAACGACTAAAACTTTCTGGAGATTACTCGGAAGAATGTTCTTAACAACATATGTCAAGGTTAACATTTACCATATTTTTCATTTTTGATCGGCAATTCTAATATAACACAAGACTTACAATCGCGCCCAATTAGGGAATTATATGTGTCGGAGATAAGAGGACACCGGTGCCTTCCCTCTGAAACCTCGGGAAAATCCATAAAAACATTGTAATTAAAATCTACAGTTGTAACTAAACGATTTGCCGTCATTCTAACCAATTGTATTTGTTTGAGACTTGTGACAATGAGCTTGGGCTCAAGGCGACAATTAGTCGCCGAACGTGGCCGCGGTCAACGGGACGAACTCTCCATCTAACAAAGGCATTGAGTAATCCTATAGCTCTCCTTAAAAGAAAGATTTGTAGCGGCACGCGGCAGTAAACATTCCAACGGTTTCTGTCCCGTAGCTTGCCACACGCAGATCCTATTCTCCGGGCAGGATGTTTACCAGA